CAGTGACGGTGTCTGTGTGCCCAGCCAGCCGGTGAGAAAACGTGCTCGAGCCCATTTCATACACGTAAGCCTACAAGACAAGATGAGCAGGTGAGCCATGTCAACTCAGAGTGAGGAATCAGCTAAATGCTACGCAGAGCAGAGGGACTGTCTAGAGATTAGTGCAGTTGATCAAATACAACAGCAACAACTGAGATGCCTGACAAAACATCATCCACGCTGGGGAACTAACCTTATAAAACAGGCATCTTTTCCCCTTCTCTCTTGTAGATTTTTAACATCTTAGTGAACTTATGTCATACCTTCTATTTACTATCAAAAGCCTCCATAGTACCCTGTGAACAGTTTTAAATATATGCTCATGTTTGATGACTAATTTTAAGGAAGGAGTATAGATTCTGTAATGCAACCTTACCTTGAAGTTCCAAACTGAATGAAAAAAAAAAAAAGATGCTCTATTGTATCCTCCCCCATAAACTTGAAATAGGTACATACGCTATACTGTGTTTCCTACTCATCAGCTTAGAATTTGAGCAATTCAAATACTTAGATTTTTTTATAGCTGTTGATAAATAAGTTCCTCTCCAATTGTGTGTGACACAATTCTGGATATATGTATCCAGAACCCCCATCAATAGTTTATTTTAGAGACAAAATCTGTTTATCAGATACCATTCTGATGGAATTGAGAGATGAGATAATCATTAAGTAACAAAGTGTATCAACAAATATTTTCTGAAAGCCTACTAGTAATAAACAGCAACGTCACACTGCAGCAGAAGGAAAGTGTCAAAGGTGATTCCTTCTCCCGCAAAACCCTACTGTTTTTAAAAAAAATTAAGCCTATTGTGTATATTTGAAGTTTGCAACATGATTTTATGGGATCCATACCTACAGATATGAAGATAATAGTACTGGTAACTAGAGAGGCGGACTCTCATATCTATCATCTCACATTGCTACTTGCATTTGTAACAAGAACAGCTAAAATCTATGTAGTTCAGGAAAATCCCTAATACTCCATGGTTTTATTAACTTGAGCACTCGTGTTGCACATTAGATACCTGGACTTCTTCATCCTAGCAGCTGCTGTTTCGTATCCTTTGACCTACATCTCCCCATTTCCTCCCCGTCCCTGCCTATGTCTACCCTGTTAGCCACACTTCCATCATCTATCTTGGTGTCTTTGAGCTCTTATTAAGATACAGATTTCATACAGAAGTGAGATCCTGCAGTCTTTTTCTTTTTGTGTCTGGTTTATTTCACTTAGCATAATGTCCTCCATGTCCATCCACACTGTGGCAAATGGCAGGCTATACCATTGTGTGTACGTGTGTACAGACATATGCACACACTCCTATATCATATTTTTTATTAATTTGTGTTCATTGATGAGCTTTTAGGTTGTTTCTATAGCTTGGCTGTTGTGACTAATGCTCAATGAACATGGGAGGGCAGATGACTTTACATGGTGTTGATTGCCTCTCCTTTGAGCATATACCGTAAGGAGGACCACTGGGTCATATTGTAGTTCTATAGTCACTGTTTTCTATACTGTTTTCCAGATGGCTGCACCAACCTACATTCCCACCAACAGTGCACAGGGTTCTGTTTTTTCACACCCTCACCAATATTTGCTATCTCTTGTCTTTTTGATAATAGCCATCCTTACAGGTATGAGGTGCTAGCTCAGTGGTTTTAATTTGCATATCTCTTATGATTAGCAATGTGGAGCACCTTTTCATATAGATTGTTGGCCATTTTTATGTTGTCTTTAGAGAAATGTCTATCCAGGTCCTTTACTCATTTTTCAATCAGGTCATTTGTTTTTCTGCTATTGAGTTGCAAGAGTTCTTTATAAATTTTGGATATTAAACCCTTATCAGATATGTGGTTTGCAAATAATGTTTCCCAGTCCATAGGTTGCTTTTTCATTTAAGAAAAATAAAGTTGGAGGCATCACACTTGATTTAAGATTATATTACAAAGCTACAGTAACTAAAACAATATGGTACTGCCAGAAAAACAAAAACACAGACCAATTAGAGTATAGAGCTCAGAAATAAATCTAAATGTATATGGACAACTAATTTTCAATAAGGCCATCAAGAGGACACAATGAGGAAAGGATAATCTCTTTAATAAATGGTAACCTCTTTAATAAATGGTGTTAGGAAAACAGATTTCTGCACACAAAAGAATGAAATTGGACCTTTATTTTACCATACACAAAAATCAACTCAAAATGGATGAAAGATCTAAAATCATAAAACTCCTAGAAGAGAACATAGTGGAAAAGCACCTCAATATTGACCTTGGCAATAATATTTTGAATGTCAGAACAAAAGCTCAGGCTACAAAACAAAAGTAAATAAATGGGACTACATCAAACTAAAGAGCTTCTGCTCAGCAAATAAAAAAAATCACCAAAAAAGAACTATTTTAATGTAAGAACGAGTCCTTCAGATTTAGGCCTTACCAATGATTCTGTCAATGACTAAGCAGGTTTTGAAGTAAAGTCTACAAATAAATGTCTGATATACAGTTGACCCTTGAGCAACATGGTGGCTAGGGGTGCTGGCCCTCCACGCAGTCAAAAATCCACACGAAGCTTTTGACTCTCCAAAAGCTTTACTGATAACCTACTGTTGACCAGAAGTCTTACTAATAACATAAACAATCAATTACCATATATTTTATATGCTATATGTATTAATACTTTATTCTTACAACACAGTAAGGTAAAGAAAAGAAAATGATATTTCAAATATTGTAAGGAAGAGAAAATATACTCATTATTCACTGAGTGGCATCATAGAGGTCTTCATCCTCATTGTCTTCAAGTTGAGTGGGAAGGAGGAGTAGCAGGGGTTGGTTTTGCTGTCTCAGCGGTGGCCGAGGCAGAAGAGGTGGAGGAGGTGGAAGGGGAGGCAGCAGAGGCAGGCTCACTTAGTGTAACTTTACAGAAATATGTCGTAATTTCTGCCTGACATTTTTGCTTTCTCACATTTTTCTATATGGTACCAGTCCTCCTAACATTTGCTTTTATTTCACTGCCTGTATCATAGAAGGATCCATGTTGTGAAAGACATCAAAAGCACTGAGTCATCAGAACCCTTCTTCCAGATTATGTCTAATGTCAATTTGTTTCTTGGCACTGCTTCTTCCATGTCTTCTTACTCATTGTCCAGCATTGGTTTGAAGCACTCATCTCCATCAAGTGGTCTTCTCTTAATTCCTCTGGTGTGGTGTCTGTTAGCTCTTGAATTTCTCCAAGATCCATAGCTTGAAACCTTTTTTGCCATATCCACGATCTCTTTCATGATTTCCTTGATTGGCCCTGTCATAAATCCTGTGAGGTCATGCACAACTCTGGACAGTTTTCTCCACTGGGAATTGTTTCAGGGTTGATGGCCTGCATGGCTTTTCCTATAACAGTAATGGCCTCTTCAATGGTGTAATCTTTCCAGATTTTCATGATGTTCTCTCCATCAGAGTTCTCCTCCACAGCATTGACAACCCCTTCCATAGGGTTCCATGTGTAATGACCCTCTGATCTGGAGTCTGGATTAGAGAAGTTGTTTGGGGACAAGACCACTTTGATGCCTTTGGTGTTAAACTCATTGGGTTCTGGGTGGCCAGGGGCATTGTCCAATATCAAAAGAACTTTAAAAGGCAGTCATGGCCAAGCGCGGTGGCTCACGCCTGCAATCCGAGCACTTTGGGAGACCAAGGTGGGCGGATCATGAGGTCAGGAGATCGAGGTCATCCTTGCCAACATGGTGAAACCCCATCTCTGCTAAAAATACAAAAGTCAGCTGGGCATGGTGGCACATGCCTATAATCACAGCTACTTGGGAGGCTGAGGCGGGAGAATTGCTTGACCCAGGAGGCAGTGGTTGCAGTGAGCCAAGACTGTACCACTACACCCCAGCCTGGCAACACAGTTAGACTCTGTTTCAGAAAAAAAAAAAAAAAAAAAAAGGCAGTCGCTTCCTGACTTCAGGGACAAAGTAACAATGGAACCAATGCGGGAAAAGGTTCTCACTGTCCTGCTTTCTTGGTGAACAATGAAAAGATTGGCAGGTGGTGTTTTTTTCCCTTCAAGGCTCAGTTTTATGGATAAGGGCAGTCCCAATCACAAGCTCAGCTGCATTTGC